TCGAAAAATATTTATTGATAGTTGCATATAAAAATGACACTTGACACAGATGTACATCTCTGGTGGAATTTTCTTGTTTGGTAGGAAGGAAAAATCAAGAGACAGAAGAGGAGGATATAATATTCAAAATATTTTAAATATATTGATTGTCTGTAATATAACTGTTAGATTTAATTCAATGATTGGGTAGTATTCTCTTGCTTGTCGTTGAGTGCAAAATTTTCTACACATCAACTCTATGGCATAGCCAGAAATTTCTTTCTGGGGGCAATATTTAATAGCAATATTATATATATATATATATATATATATATATATATAATTTGAATCAAAACAATATATGTAAAAATTAAAAGATTCATAATATTTTTATTCAATACATTAACAAATGTTCTCTAATGTACTCGTAATAAAAATTCATTCATATTAAAATTAAAATAAAAAGCGAGACACATGAAGATAACTAACCTTGACATGAAGATAACTAACCTTGTCTTATGTAAATATATCATCCCTCTATTTACTCCGCGCTCAAAACTACTTTCCAAATACTTATATTGGTGGACCATCCAAAAATATCCTCCAACTCTATAATATGAATCTATTCACTGTTTATGGAGGATTTCAAAGGGTATCAGCCATCACATTGTGCCAATTTTCAGTAACAAATCAAGCACTGGGGGTCATGTTAACTATAACCAGTTTTAAATTTATTTTTTTTTTTTTTTGGGGGCTGCTTTTTAATATTTAAATTAAATTCATCTAATAGAGTGAATTTTTTTTTTTTTTTTTTTTTTTTTTTTTTTTTTTTTTTGTGTTTGTGTGAAAAAACAATTCGAATATAGGATGGTTAGACACTCGTACCAAGGTATTTTTGTGCCTTTTTTCATATGTCCACTTGATTTATTTAATTAATTCTAATGGTGAAGGTATGATGGTCAGCAATGAGGACCCGACCATTACTTTCATATATATGGTTGTTCATGAAATGCTAATTTTTCAGCCAAGTTTTTTTAAGGGGGAAAAAAGAAAAAGAAAAGAGAAAAGCAACTTTTTGTAAAACAGTGCAATTTCGCTAATATTTGCGTAAGAGGGGCATTTTACATAACACCAGATCAAGGATTGTGCCAACTTTAATATCAGTTGTAATAGGCCGATATTTTACCATTAGATTCAAATATTTAAACTATTAGATGGTGTTAACACCTAATTTTATATGTTCAAAACCACCCCCACTCGGTCTAATGTGAGACAAAAATCCATAAGGTAGTTAAAACAAAGGCTATAAGGGAAATCAATTTCCACCATATGCTATCTTATATAAATTTTGAGATAAATAAATAAATAAGAAGTAAAAAACCAATATGGTTTCAATGATCACATCCCAATTATTTATAACACCAATGGTTGAATATAATAATAATAATAATAATAATAATAGTTATCTTGGATTAGCTTTGCAACATGCATGAGAAGAGGCCAAAGTCTTCTAACTCAGCTGGTAAGATGTCTCTCGTTGGCTCTTGGAGTGCATGGGTTCGAGTCTTCACACCAACTAACCCTTAACATTTACCCTTTCAAAAAAAAAAAAACAACATGCATGAGAAGAGATGGTCTTTATTTATGGCCAAGACCGGTCGCTCAGCCCGTGGATCTCTTTGACAGAGATGGGAGAGATGGCTTCTCAATAGGTAACCAACATGTAATCGACACATGTCCTGGCTTAGATTTGTCTGACTGTATCCCCCAGAGTAGTGTGCCTTGTGTCACTCGAATATCTTATATTTTGGGATACGCAAGTGTAATAAAAAATATCTAGAGTCAGTTGTTCTAGGCGCGTTCTGTGATGAGCAGGAATTTTTATGTCAGTCTGGCGTGTCTTGCGGGTTCGATCAATCTGTTTAGTACCACTGGTAGGGTCTCTTGGCAAAGTTTTGGAGAATGAATTTACTCTGGTCTTAAGTCTTCTTTAACCCTTGATCACAACATTTCACTTAGCAGGTCTTGGTCTGAGCTAGGTATTATTTTTCTATGCGAACATCTATGTTCTGTACAAGGCCATACATTGCTCATGTAGTGGGAGTTGTCAGTAAATTCATGGATAATTCAGGCAAGGAGCATTGGGAATATTTTAAGTGGAATTTAAGGTATCTTAAGAGTATAGACATGACTTTATGTTATCGCATCCAAAAATTATGCTTACACGTACGGTGTGGATTCACACATGGCAAGCGGACGTTAGTAGCAGGAAGAGCACTATAGGGTATGCTTTTACTTTAGGTAGTGCAGACGTCAGTTGGGTCTCCCAGTTTCAAAAAATTGTGACCATCTTCACGACAAAGATGGAGTATGTAACGACCACAAAGGCGTGCAAAGAAATATTGTGGTTGAAAAAATTCATGAAAGGGTTGAGTAAAAAGCAATAGAGTTGCATATTCAATGATATTCAGGGTGCAATCCATCTTGCAAGGAACTCATCCTTTCACTCAAGAACTAAACATATAGATATTAAATACCATTTTATTCGCTCATACTTGGAGGATGGACAATTTCAATTGGAGAAAATTCACACGAGAACAATCTTGAAAATATACTGATAAAGGTGGTTGCTGTTGGGAAGATGAAGACATGTTCAGCTTTTATTGGTCTTCAAGCTTAGAAGACAAGGGAAGTCTCACATTGGTTTTTTGTGGTGAATGAGTTATCAGTAACAATATAGTAGATCTGTCTTCAAGTGGGAGATGATTGGGTTGTGGAGCCTACTCATTTGGGGTGGAATCCTTAGGAAATTAAATTGGGTGAAATTAATTATTTTTAATATGAAAGGTATTACAATGATTGTGATGTAACCCTAATATGTAAACTATTTATTTCATTGTTAGCTACACAATCGCTTAAGTGAGAGGGCTTGTAATCATGTATCAATGCATTCCTCCATTATTGAAAATCGTGAAATTAGTGTGAGTGGTGGACATAAACGATATTGTCGAACCACGTAAAATCTTTGTGTCGTGATTCTGTTTTATTTTTTATTTTTAGTTTCTCAAGTGATTTGGTTATGTAAATTGGGAAGGTTACATGTTTTTGTGTGTTTCTTTGTTTCTAAACAAGACACTATACTTAATGTTCCTGTCACATGTTCATTGTTCATTATTTATCTCATCTTTTATAGTGATTCCTATCATGCAACGCAACATCCTCATTTTTGTTACATAAATGTGTTTGTACCACCACTCCATACAATATTGTCTGCCAAATAACCGTACTATAGAATTTTTCCTTTAATTTATTTGGTATTTGGTTGTCACAAAGAATATATATCAGCAGCTTGCCTCCATTTTGTCTACATCACCATCTATCTCTCCACAAAAGAGCCTTTCTGAGTAACTCATTGGTCTTAAAATGAAAATTTTATATTGGCATCGTTTTCTACAAAGTTATGATGCATATATATATACATGTGTAGATTGATATAATTGTGAACAAAGATTTCCCGTTTGACTTATGAAGAGAAATTTGGCATAAGCCTAGTTGTTTCAGATAAAGTTGAGAAGGTTTCTCACTCACTATTACATTCCTCCGGCTATTGTTTCTCTCTCACCGGAATGGATCTTCTTGTTGAGCTGCTTTAACGGATTCCTTCTGTAATTTCAGTTTCCTGCTTTTATCTCTTGTTTGGGCTGAGCTCCTGTGGCCCCTTGGGCTTGTTATGTGTCCCCTTTTGGGCTCTTTGGCCTAAGGCCCCCCTTTGTAATTTTTTTCAATTTATACAGTTGCTTAAAATTCCCAAAAAAAAAAAAAAAAATTATACATTCCCCTTTCAATCATCCCAACTGTTTGATACCAAACTTCAATAATGCTAAAACAGTACCATTTCATTATTTGAATAAGAGCATGATATGTGAAGCTCCAGCAAATGGTATCCTTCTTTCTTTAAAAGCAAAATATTAATGAGAGCTGGTAAGTAGGTTTACAGATATATAGAAACAAAGGAGAAGCATATTGCAGTTGAGAGATCATTCAATGAAGATAATGGCCTTTGAGCACACTGCTACTTTTAATCTTCCATCCATCTAGCATAAGTCAAGCTCAATAGGTCCCGACATGTTGAAAATACCACAAAAAATAATCTTTTCTATTTTTCAAATCACCAACAAAGTCAAATAGTGCATGTGTGTAAGTAATCAAACCGACAACAATTTCAATCAAGATTTTCACATAAGTAGTGAATAAAATTCAATCAAAATTTTTATAATAATTTAGTTGTACTTCTTCACTTTTGAAAGTAAAAAATTCTAGGTTTCAAATATCACTTTTGAAAGTAAAAAGTTCTAGGTTTCAAATATCGACAGAGTAAGTGACAATGTAAATGTGATTTTATTAATAAAAATAAATTATATTAAATAAAAAAAACTTTTATTTAAAACCCATCAAATAAAAATAATATAATCCAATTTTAAATATTCCATTACCATCATAATAATAATAAAAAAAACGAATGCCTAGGGGTCAACAATATTTTTTTATTTTTTGCGAATCGTATAAGTAATTTAGTAATTGAAAGGTGAATTTAAACAAGATTATCAATAAAAAAAAGTTCAAGTTTCAATAGAGTGACAAAAAAAAATTGTGTATAACCAATCCATGGAATTAAAGTAAAGTACGAGTAAAATTGACCACCAATCTTCCAACTAAAAAATAAATAATAAATTAAGTACCTCTATTTTTTTCTCTCATCATCTTATTTTTCCACACAAGTTGCCGACAAACCACGCTTAACCAAAAAAACAATTGAATGGCTAAGCCCACAGCATTTAGAGCCAATTAAACATTTCATATAGTTTTCTTTTTTTATTTGTTACATATAGTTTGAGCCACCCACATGGATGGGGACCCAAACCCAGTACTAGCCTCATGCATGTGCAACCCTTAATTGCGGGTCGGTGAGCGTCTTGAACCATTGCTTAAGATCATTATATAAAAGCAAGTGTTTGGGACTTAATTCACTCAACAAGCCTCTTGGAAGGCCTTACACAGAAGCTAGCTTATATATATAGAGAGAGAGAGCCTCTGATCAGCTTTTTGTGCCAAGTAATATTATCTTGGATACATATATATATATAAGGGGAAATCCCAATGGGGATTCATTCCCTTTGTCAAGGGGCTCTCCTCTGTTTCTGGTTGTCCTTGATTTTGTCTGTGAGCTTCTCCTATGGTGGTGATAATACAGTTCAGGTGGTTGGTTTTGGAGAATGTGCAGATTGCAAAGAAAACAATTTCAGGACTAGTGAGGCCTTTTCAGGAACCTTTGTCTTTTATGGTCTATATATATATATATATATATATATATATTTATATTCTAAGTATTGTTTTTCATAATGATATTATTGAATTAATGGATGGTACATCATGCATTTCATTGCCATGTCACAACTATTTCTTCTTGAAAAGGAAAGCACCATGCAGAGATATAAACACAAAGAAACTACAATATTATATATGGTCTAACAAAGGGAAGTGTGTATATAAGTGATCTGTTTCTTTACTTTTTCAGGGCTTAAAGTGACCATTGATTGCAAGTCTGCAATTGGAGAGTTCAAAACAAGAGGGACTGGAGAGCTTAATGAAGAAGGAAAGTTCAAAGTCTCTCTTCCCCAGGAGATTGTCAAAGATGAAAAATTGGAGGAGGAATGCTTTGCACAGCTTCACAGTGCATCAGCCACCCCGTGTCCGGCCCACGATGGTATAGAGGCCACCAAAGTGGTCTTCAAGTCGAAAACCAACGGAAAACTCATCTTTGGTCTAGCCGGAAAACTGAAATTCTTGCCGGTGACTTGTATCTCGTCCTTCCCATCTCTTACCAAACTCCCAGCTAAGCCCCAAACTTTCCCATGGAAAAAGCCCTTTCCAAAGTTCTTTGGCCACCATCTCCCTTTCCCTCCTAAAGTCTTCCCTCCTATATACAAAAAGCCACTTCCTCCACCTATTCCAATCTACAAAAAGCCACTTCCACCTCCTGTTCCTATTTATAAGCATCCACTTCCTCCTCCTGTTCCTATTTATAAGCATCCGCATCCTCCTCCTGTTCCTATTTATAAGAAGCCACATCCTCCTCCTGTCCCTATTTATAAGAAGCCACATCCTCCTCCTGTCCCCATTTATAAGAAGCCACTTCCTCCTCCTGTCCCAATCTATAAGCCAAAGCCAAAGCCTCCTGTTCCAATCTATAAGCCAAAGCCAAAGCCTCCTGTCCCTATCTACAAGCCAAAGCCAAAGCCTCCTCCTGTTCCAGTATACAAGCCAAAGCCAAAGCCTCCTCCTGTCCCAGTCTACAAACCAAAACCAAAGCCTCCTCCTGTCCCAGTCTATAAACCAAAACCAAAGCCACCAATTGTCAAGCCACTTCCACCACCTGTCCCGATTACGCCATTCCCAAAGTTCCCTCCAGTGTATAAGAAGCCTTGTCCACCACTTCCTAAGCTCCCTAAGATTCCTCCAAAGTACTTCCACCACCCCAAGATAGGACTCTTGCCTCCTTTGCCACCTTTCATTCCTCATCCTTAGGTTACCATATAGTGTGTTGTTTCTTTGGATTCGAAGTCGTATGAGTGTTGTTAATTTGATGTTATTTAAGAGGGGCTTGGTTTGAAAATTTATTATGGAAATAAAGTCTTCAAGCTAGATAGAGAAAGAAATTGAAGTGAACATATATATGTTGGAAGGAAGAGAGAGTATATCAGTGTTATGTTCTTATATATGTTTATGAATATTAATTGAAGGTGGGATTGTGTGAATTGTTCTTGTTAATGCATGTGATTGAAGTTTCTAAATTTTCCATAATAACTAGTAGTATTTTTACTTCATTTTATTATAATAGTAGTCGAACTGATTTGTGTGTCTCAATTTTTATGCAATCAAATTCATATGGCTAACTGAAAGAAGTCATTAGCAGGAGATATGCCAGTATGCCACATTTCTATTCTAAACAAATTTTTGTAATGTTGTTTTACAGTAGAAAAAGATGAAAGTTCAACACCTCCTTCAAAAACCATTTTTACAGCAGTTTCACGTGCCTAATAACAGTACAATGAAAGCGTAATGCTAATGCCCTTTGGGACTGTACACAAAAGAATAACAACTCAAATTTAAATTCACGAAATTTAAGCAAGCGATTTATTTAATGTTATTAGTGAGTGATAATTTTTGCAATTATAATATATGCTTATGTATAATTGAGAAAACCTATCACTATCAAAAATCTGACAACATAAAAAATAAAAAAATAAATAAATAATCATAATAATAATAATGATAGATAAATAAATAAAACATGCTTCAATTTTACATAATATTGAGTACATCAATATTAGCATATTATCACGTTAAAATACTTATAATGTGAAGACCGTGTCATCTTTTTCCCTTTTCCCTGCAGAATTTTTTTTTTTAATTACATATTTAATTATTTTAATCACTTAATTGAGTATTTGTTTATTTATTTATTTCCTCTTTCGTTGCCTTAGGGTTTGGTGTTCGGAATTGTTCTCCGGCACCCATTGCACTTACATTATTTTAATTTAATGTCAATACATGATTTAATTACCTAGAAAAGCATGACAGCTTGTTTTCAATTCTGTAGGGGTATAGATGTATAGTTTCTTCGGAAACATTTTAATTTCTCGGGGTGCTTTGTGTAATTAAGTTTTTGGGATATTTTGTCTTAGGGACCATTTTGTAATTATTTTCTTGAGATATTTAGAAGAGGAACTATTTTGCAATTTTCAAAAACTGTGACAAGTGTCACCTTTTCCTTTGGTCCACTTGTCACCTTTTGGGAGAAACACTTGGAAGTTTGTAACGTTGACTAGTGTAAGGTGTTGATTGAACCTAGAGAGGGTACTTAGAATGGTGACAAATGTAGGCTTGAGATTAAGCCTTGTGAGGAGGACTAGGATGGTGACAAGTGTAGGGTGAAGATTCACCCATTTGTTGGCTCTTGGTTGGTACACTTATTGGCTTGGGATTGTGACAAATGTAGGCTTGTGATTAAGCCTAGTGAGAAGGCCTTATATTGTGGCAAGTGGAGGGGTGAGATTAGTGTGTGTGTGTGAGAGAGAGGTAGTGATAGTGTGGTGTAATGTGTGTGTATATACCTTAGTTAGTGGAAAATCTCTAGATTTTCCACTAACTTCTTCATCTTCTACTTTTCCTCTCATCTAAACCTCTCCATTAGAGACTTGAAACCTAGCTTGGTAAAGCTTGATTTCAAGCCTCTTCCTCTCACCATTTGGTCTTGCACTTGGAAGACAAAACCTTCTCCACTTCATTACCTACCTTACCTAGTTCTTGGATTCCCATTTGCTTGCTTTGTTCTTGGATTCTAGAGATACATTTCTCTAGTGAGGTAGGGGGTGTCTTATGTTTATACCCTTAGTGTTTTAATGAGTTGTTTAAAGTTAATATACATTGTATGCATGTTATTTAAATTCTAGGAATGCATATAGATGAATCTTGTATGCAACTAGCCTAGGGTTTCATGGTTTGTGTATGATTTATCACTTGTTTTGAAGCTATTTCATTTTGTGGTAGTTTAAAATCTAGAGATTTCTTATAATGTAACTATAGATTTTTTACATGAATCTTATCTATGATTTTATTGTTAAATTAACCCTATGTTGTTGTTTTATCAAAGAATTGAGGCTAATTATATAATAGCATGAAAGGATTTCCTATGATGATAATATTAGTAGGATTTAACTCTTTATGTTTATAACCTAGTGTTGATATAAGTGTGTACAAATTTAGGGCTTGATTGTGTAGCTAATTAATAGTCTACATTGCTTTAGTATTGTGACATTATTGAGATATTGTCCTTGTAATTAAATCGTAGTGTGTGTGCGCCACCTTGGCCTTAGTTGTATAGTGGTTATCATTTTGTTCATAACATTCATGTGGTTACAAGTTATGTGTGTCCGGCATACATAACATGATTGAAGGATGGAGGCTATCTGAATATTGAAAAAGTGGACATCAAGTCTAGTGGGTGGAAGGTCCCATATAATATTGGCCAGTGGGGTGTGGAAGTGCACCAATTTTATCATCGTGTATGATGTGTGCATGCATCACATTGCATCATGGAATCGCATGTGTGAGTCGCATTATAGTGGAGTCTATGTGCAAGTTGTTTTGTAGTTCTTGAAGTGGTATACACTTTGTTATCCTATTAGCTTTGTGGTAGTTGTTCTTCTACATATGCTTCCCGTTATTGTTTTCACATTCTATTTCAATTTGACAATACTAGGTAGTTGTAATTTGTTGTTTGGCATTGAGGTTCCGACATTGTTTAAGTTCATTACTTATTATGGATTGTGCTTAACATGTTTCCATGGTAGTTTTAGGATGATCTCTTAGCTTTCCCTTGAAATTAGACATTAGGGAGCATGATCAACATGTTATGCCATTTATATTATAATTGCAAAGACTTTTAAAACTTTAGGTTATACGCTTGAGCATCATCCTACGAGTAATTTCAAATTACTCACCCCTAGTCGATTGCGGGTTTTGCAGGCAATGAGACATCTTTTTTGGATGCGAACCATCCATATTTTGACTTGTATTTACATTTCAAGCATCTTTTGTACACATTTATCATGCAAGTGTTAGCATGCTTAGTTACCTTTGATGTTGTAAAGTATAACTTGTTTTGAGCTTGTTGCTTTCATTCGGAACATATAATGTGTACCTAAGTACATTATTTTGGTTCTTCTTTAAATGTATGTAATGAGGCCAAGGGCCAAACATTTCAATGTATGCAAACTAGAACTCTTTGTTTCAAATGTTCATTTTGATGTCATGGTCACTATTCATCGATTTTTTTTTAGAACTGTGCTGACCATTCTTGGACTTCTGGGTTTTCTAGGGTGTATTTGAGTACTGCATTTCCAATTTAGGTCTTAAGAAAACCTTCCGATGCCCCATTTCCTTTCCTTGGGCAGCAACTAAGCCTTTTAGCTGGCGCCCATAGGATTTGGCGCTGGCAGGATTTGGCGTCCGCCCGCAATGCAACAATTTTTGCATCTTTGACAACTTTGTAACCTAATTTTGAAACAACCATAACACACTTATTTTAAGTTCAAATTAGGTGATTCTTGAGTCTAAATTCAAGGATTTTGAGTCTGCTTTCCAATGGTACCAATCCCATATTTAGATTCGTTTCCTACTGAGAGATATGATCATTTTAGTGGAATAATATTGAGATTTGGTTTGAACAGTTGCCGTGGGATTTCACTTCCAATGACTTTAGAACTTCATATGAGGTTACCAACGGGTCTGATTGAGTTATTTTGATTTCATTTGACTTGTTGAGAGTCAAATTTCCTTCTTTTAGGGTAAAATGACCATTTTACCCCTATCTTTGTTTTCATTTCGTTTCAATCTTTACTTCCATTTCGTTTCCTTTTTGAGTCTCGTGACTTTGTAAAAGGTCACTTTGGCGTCTTAGAGATGGTATTTATCTCTGGAGACCTCTTCTTTTTTCTTGCTTCCACATTTGGGATCCGTTATCGGGTCAGTTTCAGGTAACTTACTGACGCTCCGGGTTTTGAGAATCTAGTCTGTCACACGTTTCATCAGAGCTTGAGGTTTGAAAACCTCAAGACGATGTGTTTGGGTTCATTTCACACTTCTTGTCGACATGCTTTGATGTGTTCACTTGCTTATATGCATATGTGCTTAAGTGTTTCTATGTTACGCACGTCTCTTATATAACATGTGTAATGACCTAATCATTTTCTTTCTTTTCTTTTTTCAGTAAATTTCTTTTTGTCTTTTCCCCATTTCGTCCTTTAGTTATTTTTCATTTTTTTTTTTTGCATAACTTCACTTTTTGCACTCGGATTTGATTCTGACTTTGCATACATCCATGATATTTGAATTCCATGATATCTACATTTTCACTTTTGTAGAAAAGCATGTTAAATGCTTACTTTTCTTTTAAAGGGCATGAATGTATAACTTTTGGTAATTACTCTAAATTTGAGGGGTTTTGTGTAATTAAATAAAGTAATTATTTTTCGTCTTAGGGATCATTTTGCAATTTAATTTGGAAGATATTTTCAAAAATGACCTTTTTGCAATTTTCGAAAAATGTGACAAGTGTCACATTCCTAAGGTACCACTTGTTGATTTTGTGGTGAAACCACTTGGAAGCCTTGTTTGATGACACATGGAGGGTGGAGATTCACCCATATGTTGGCCTAGGATAGAAGCACTTGTTGGCATGTATGGTTGACAAGTGTAGATTTGATATTTAATCTTGGAAGCTTACTTAGATTCATGACAAATGTAGGCTTCACAATTGGTCTTGCATTAGTGTGTGTGCGAGAGGTAGTGCAAGAGCACCTAGTGAGTGGAGAATGCCACCATTTTAACTTAGGGTTTTCACTTTTAATTCATTTATCTCTTTCCTCTCAAGAACCCTAACTTAGCCACTATTGGAGAAAAGCTTGGTTAATAGTTTTCTTCTTCATTTTGTAAGGTAGGGGTGGTTGTATGTTTATCCTCTTTGGGTTTTATATATATTGGAGCTTGATATATAATGATTACATGCTTTTTAAATTCTTGTAATTGCATATAAATAGAGATTTATTATGCTTGACTTATGATTTGTGAATTAAAGCATGTATATGACTATTAAATGGAATAGGTAAATTATTGTTTAATGACTTGCCTTATACTTGTGATTTCATTGAGGGTTTATTATGGATTTCTTGGAGTTGGTACTTACACTATTAAG